TAGGCCATGCAGTTTCTGAAAAAATCTCTGCACATTGCCCATGGTTAAAAAAATGGCTCAAAAATTACCTACAATTTTCATTACATTTTTAAAATAATTATATTGATGAACTTATACTATGCAGAAAATTTGGGCAAATTGCTTTAATTTTGAGTTATAGTCTTTTGAAAATGTTGTCCATCTTTCGCTAAAATGATATAGACATTGAGTAATTTTTATTTGATCAAATGTATATCATTTTTATACAAGAAAACAACAACAAAAATAATAATAATGATGATGATGACAATAAAGCTACCATGCAAAGCTCAAAAAGACAATGCAACCACAATTGGATCTAAAAATAATGTCACCAATAGCTGAAGAGGGGAGACAGCCTACAAGCCACATATACACACTTTGCCACTAAATGTACATTCTCTTTGTCTCCTGGAACATCATACAATGACCCAATACCATAAACAGCAACACTATAACCTAAAGATGAACATACACATAAAGCCATATGCAGAATGCAAGACAGCTTATTGGCTACTGCAGTATTGGTCTTATGCAACAGACCTTTTGCTTTCTGTCATTTTAAATTCCTCTCTCTCTTCGGTTGTGATCTCCTTCAATTGTTCTCTATTGTCTCTAAAAATAACAGTATAATTATTACGAGAGCAATTTTATTATAGTGTACTTGTAATATATGACATCTCCATCAGCATCATACAGTGATGCTTGATTCCATTCCAACTCATTCTTAATATCAAGACGTGATATCTCAGCTGGAAATGATCTCAAATACTTTTAAAGGAAAAATAACTGGCTGATAGTGAAATGTCAATTGCTAACTGTTGCAACAGAAATGGCATCAACAGGAACTCCACTTAACTCTGAAAACTAAAGGAAAAAGTTACATAGCATTATTTTAGAATCACTTCTTCTGTTGGATTTACTGAAAATTCTGATGCGACACCATCTTCTAACATACACCAGCATGCATCTGTGTTGGGAGCTTCAT